GGCATGTTTAGCATGTTAGCCTACCTAAAAGCCTATTATTTTATACATGTGTGAATAAGAAATTCAAATATTGTTTAAATATTCTAACAAACTAAAAAACCAATGAGATAAAAAGTTTGTTTGCATTGATTTATTTTAACTTACCTATTAGCATTAGTTTTGTGAGACTATTTATTTAAAAGGACTTGTGAAAACAACTTATAATATTGTTCATAAGTTGTTTTCATCTTATTTTCATAAGTTCTCAAAGATAACTAAGTTTTATTTATGTATTTTTTATTCAAAGTACAAAACATAACATAATGATAATAAAAATGTTATTCATATTTAATTATGTAGGCAAGCCTATTAGGTCTAAAAGGCTTTTTTTCATGGCCTAAGACCTATCCTTTTTAACTAAATAGGCTTATAAAAAATCCTAGGCCTTTTCTATTAAAAAATAAAGCTAGGTCTGGCCTGAGCCTATGTAGGCTAGGCCATAGATCCCTGTTATCGGCCTTGCCTATTTCCACCCCTAACTGGTATATGGCGCTGGCGTTCTTCAGTCCGAAGGGCATAACATTGTAGTAGTAATTTCCTGATTCAGTCATGAAGGTCGTGTATTTTTTGTCTGTCCTCGCCATGAAGATCTAGTTGTACCCTGAGTATGCGTCCATAAATGATAATAATTTAAATCCAGAAGAGTTATCGACTGATCTATCTATGTTCAGTGGTAGGTAAGCATCTTTAGGGAAATTCCTGTTAAGATTAGTATAATCAACACACATCCTCCACTTTCCATTATATTTTTTAATGAGTACAACATTTGACAGTCAGGTTGTGTACTGAGCTTCAGAAATAAAATTTTCCTCTAAGAGGTCTTTTACATGTTTTTCAGAATCCTCCGCTTTCTCGGGAGACTACTTACGCCTATTTTATACTACAACGATAGCGGTGGGGTCTATGGTCAGATGGTGGCATGCAACCTCGAGGTCTAGTCCGAGCATCTCAATTGTGCTCCACACGAATAGATCTGTATTTTCTCTCAGGAAGGATTTCAACTACTTCCTTGCTAGGTCGGGGAGGCCAGTGCCAATATTCACTCCTTTGTATGGGTCATTGTCGAGAAGGATGACTTCAAACTCAACGTATGGGATGGGGCGCATAGGATGAGGAGGATCATCGCCATCTCCTAGTTCTGTCAGACATGCTTCCCGTTCTTTCTTATTCTACACCTTCAGATCGTCTTTGGTGAAGTGGTTGTCGAGATCGATAGAGTCGACACTAGGAATTGGTTTTGATTCCTCTAAGTTGTTGGCGAGAGCATACTTGTCGAGGACCTTAGATGATAGATTGATGGAGTTCTTCCCCTTCGCGACCATTTCAAAACATCTCATTGTAGCTTCAATGTCCCCGTAAAGAGTAGCAACGAGGCCCTTAGGGGTGTAGTACTTCATCTTCAAGTGGACCATGGAAGGGATAACGATCAGTTAGACCAAAGTTGATCTTCCCAGGATGCACTAGTACAGTGATGGGCAGTCTATCACCAGAAATTGGATTTTGACTATTTTGGCAGTTTCAGCTACTCCGAAGGTGACGATCAGTTTGACATGACCCTATGGTCTTCTGTTTGCTCCATTGAAGCCCTGTAGATCAGATCCCACGTAGGGTGTCAAGTAAGTTTCTCCCAGCTGCAGAGTTTTGAATTGGTGAGAGTACATTATGTCGATCGAGCTTCCCTGATCGACAAAAATGCATCACACGTCGAAGTTAGCCACTTATGCTCTCACGAGTAGAGGGATACTGGAGTTGGGGGAGCCATTGGGAAGCTCCTCTAGGTAGAATGTGATGATCTTTGAGCTTTCCCATCACTTCTCGAGGGTAGCATTTTGGCTCGAGCTCGCATTGATAAGTTCCTCAAACTTCTGTTTCATCAACCTACGGTGAGGTTGTTCAATCCCGTGTCGGAGGGGGAAAACTCCCATGGGCTATGTGTGGTAGTGTAAAGGGGAAGTTGTACCCCTCAGGGACGAAGAAGTCCTCTGGTCGAGAGACGCACATGGAGATCTGGAGATTGGCGTCATCAGAGGATAGAATTTCCTCCTCAACCCTCTTTGCTTCTCGGACCTCTTGCCGAGGAGCTTCCCTTTTCTGGTACTACTTCAAATGCTCGTCTCATGTGAGGATCTCAATTGCATCCTTGAGGTTGATGCAGTCCCCGGTAACGTGCCTGTGGCTTTTTTAGAAACAGCAGTATTTGGTCTTGTCCACATTGGGATTCGGGGGCGTTTGTTTTGGGTAGATGACTCTATCCTGGCGAAATTATGAGTTTGTGCACTTTGACAAAATGCGCTCGTGAGAGGAGATCAGCGGAATGTATCGGAGAAGCGGCAAGTGGGTCCTTTGTATTCTCGAGGCTCGCGGGGCTTGTCCTCCTTTCTTTTCTCCATTCCTTAGCAAGTTATCAGGTCATCTTGCCTTGAAATGGGCATTCTTATGGCACCGCAAATCTCAGGTAGTGTTAGCGACATTGGCTCAGTTGGCAAGGCATCATTGGCTCTATCCTAGAGGAACCGGATTCAACCCCTGCTGAGGCTTTGTTTTTCCTATTTTTTCTTGATTTCTTTTAGGTAATAAAATTAGTTTAATCTTTAGTTTTGACTTTAAAATTCAATTAAATAAAAGATATATAATTTCAAAATTAGTTAATTTAGGACTTTGTAGTTAATTTTGTCAACATTTTTTTTATGGTTTAATAAACTTTCTTTTTTAAAATATTTAGTTTATACATAATAAAATTCTAATAACAATAATAGAATAGATTTTTTTTATTATTTTATTTTATTTTCATTCTTTCCTCACAAACAAAATACCAAGAGTTTTATTTCTGTACTTTGTTAATTTTTACTTCGTAAATTGTTGTAGTCTTATTTAATTTGTTTGATTTGGTTGTATTGATTGACTTTTAATCGCATTGATTCATCCCTATTCGTAAATTTGTACCCCATTCCCGAAAGTTCTGTAATAGCGTAAAATTTCAATTTTCGCAATTTATTGTTTTCCTTATACTGTATAGTAATTAGGCGTGCATGACAAGATTCAAAAATCAATCGCTAGATAACCTAATTTCAACAAAATTAACTTGAATCGAACACACTTTTTCACACGCGCACCTCTAGGGTAACCTCGCTTGTTGCCTCGGAAACACAGTCATGTCCCTCGAATATGGGACATTTTAGCAACGACCCTTCGATAAAAAAGATCGTAGTCCCTCGATGACCCTCGATGTTGCCTTCGATAAAACGATCTCGTCCCTTACGGAAATTGCTAAAGCGCCTCATAAATTACTTTCGATGACTGTAAAATTGACCCGCGCATGTCCCTTCACATCCAACAATGGAGCTTCTTACCAAATTAATGGTAAGAAAACAACATTAAAAGGAGGAAGAAAAGAACAATTGAAAACTTTTCAAGTAGATAGATTCGCTCCTAGTTACTCGCTTGCTCACGACAAAAATATTTTTACACCTACACTTTCATCTCAAAACATTTTCAAAAGACAAAATGTTTTGTATACGTTCTTATAGAGACGAGAACCATTGCAAAACATCTTTTCAAAACACTTTCTGAAACACAATCCACAAACACATCTTTGAACCACTTTTCGAAGCAAAACTTTGTATGTGTTTTATAGAAACGAGAACCATTACAAAGAGATTTTTCAAAACAAAACGAGTAACTAAGAGTCCATGGAAAACCATGGATGAAAAGGGTGTTAATACCTTTCCTTTTCATAATCTACCCCCGAACTCAAGAAAACATCTCAAAAGGTCTTTCCTGTGCTTTTTTACCTTTTCTTTTGGATAAAAGAAAAGTCGGTGGCGACTCTGACTATCCGCACAAATGCGATCAAAACGCAAAACATCAAGTCAGTTCTCCCACCGTATCACAGTAAATCTTATAAATTCTCCCCAAATTTTACTTTATGTTCTCTTAACTTAACCTAAGGTGCAGACATTAAAAGTGTCTTGTTTCAATACAAATTTCACAAATTTCAAGATTATAATTCTATCTCCTACTCTTTTTACGTCCACAATATCTTTCTTTCACTCCTTGTACACAATAATCTCCACCCCAATATTTTTAAACGATTATATATCACCTGATTGTATATCACATATTCAAAACATATCAAATCATTTAATTAATTTTTTTATAATAAGAATCTGAGAAAATAAATCAAAACTGATGAATTTTAATGAGGCCAATTTCATAAACATAAAAATACCAAATCTCTAACTAAACCAAAAAATAACAATTGTTTTAAAACAAAGAGTATCTAATATTGATTTTTCATCTAGCAGACAAATAAGTAATATTAATGGGATATACTTAAAATAATAATAAATAATAAATACATCTAATAATTTTTACAAAAAACATCTAAGGGTTAAAAAATATTCTAAATGGACCTACAAGTAGGGGTAGAGGTAGAGAAGTAATAACTATACAGGAAAAAAATACTCGTTTGAAAAATGCAAATAACAACCTCGAAAACTTTTAGTAACAGATAAATTCAGTGATGAATACCCGGGCAGCCACCATTTACCACATTAATCACCTTGCATGAAATGCATGATCTGAGAAACTGAGACATTATGTAATCAAAGGGGGTAAGGATTTTCTTTGTTGATTACGTATTAAAAGAAGCTATCAATAGAGATTTCTTACACTGCTTCACATCTGGCCCAGGATAAAATAAGATATAACTGTGGAAACTAAAAATTGCCTATAACTATTTTTTTTCTCTTCTCTTTTTCCCTCAAAAAGTAGGCGCAAATGAGTATGGCATTTGCAAATGATAGTTACACTGGATTCCCTTCACATTTTCAAGGAAAAATTTCACCCCAACCCTCTTCAGCACTCTTTTTTACCCAACATTCTTGCTTGCTCCAACAGTTTTACCAGCCAAAATGCCAAAGAAATAACTCAAAAATAATAACATCCTATGACCTAATAATTCAAGGGTGGTTAAACCAGGGTCCTACTGCACCATTCACATGCCCGTTGCTATGGATCCCTACTCCATTTGGGATGATTGATGGAGGAAGGCCTACGGTTGCAGAAGGATATAATCCATGGCTGTGAGGGAGAGTATGGGGACTCAAATGCGGACTCCCAGCCGGACTCCCTTTACGCTGTTGAAGGGCGTGGATCTGCCTCAGACCCTCTTCATGAATACGTGATATTGTTTCCAACTCTTTCATTGATAGAGCCTCCAGACCAGCACCATATAATGGGGCATGTCGCGACATTTCCTCCTTGAGTGAGGCCTCAGCGCTGAGGATATATTGCTGCAAGAGAAAAACAAGGTATTAACCTACCAAATGAATCTCCGGAGTATGATCATAAAGAACATTTTGCACGTACAATAAATAACATATAATGGCATCAGTACAAAGATAAAAATACATTGTATCTCATTCTAGCCCATCCATCAAAATACTTATAAAGAAAATTTCCAAGACACAATTTTTGAGCTAGAGAACTTTAGGAAAAAGAATGAACAGTCCAGCACTGATAGTAAAAACCTGCCTAATATTAAGGATACCTGGTTGAACTCGTGCAGACATATCTTACAATGATTTTAAGGTCACCCAATCAAAACTCATTCATCATCCAACTAAGCATTTGAGAATAGCAGACAGCATTGAAATTGCAGACAGAAGCAAAAAAGTATATATAAATAGCAATAAACAGAAAAATTACAATCTATATATGTCAAGGCTAACCTGGTAGGCCTGCAACTTTGATTGCATGTCATCAATATATGCTTCACACCTAGCAACCTGCTCTTCTTTTTCCCGTTTTTCTCCCTCGGTTTGTCCAACTGTTTGAGTCAATCTACGAACTTCGTCCTCCAGCGATTGGCGGATTTCTTCCCGAGTCACGTTTTCTGTTGCTAATCTTTTCAATTCTTCATCAAAATGCTTGCGTGCAGCTTCAGCATTCTTCAATCTTTCGGCAAGTGTATTTTTCTCCTTTACTATTTTCTGTAAAAAATACGGATCACATCAATATGGAACTTTCCCCATTCCAGAAATAACAGAAGACTACTTATCAATTCAGAACCACAAATGAAGGGCCTTTTTCCTCACGAGAAACTTTTATCTTCTGCTATAAAATAGAGGAATTTGAAGGAAAGACAAGTAAAATCTTAGAAGGTACTGATTTAAAACTAAAAAGTTATTGCATTAAATGTCAGATGAAACATTATAATGTATTAAGGGTTTAAAATGTAAGTTAAAAATTTCTCTTCATTAAAGTGTCTCCCCTTCCCCCCTCTTGACCAAGTATGATATCTCGTTAAAATCCCTCCCCTTATTTGATCCAAGCAGACCCTCAAAGTAATCTGTTAATGAAAAAACTCTGATTAATATATTGCCAGTCCAGAGCCCATAGAAGAAAAAAAGAGTTGCATTAGACAACAACAACAGCAATGATACAACTTTGTCCAATTCTCATTTTGATAATTTAATAATGATTTAAAGGATGGCTCAGAAAATTGTAGAGCATATTTGCAAAAATATTTAAGTCAAGGACCAACTCTCTAAAAATCTTAAACTCTTAAGTGTTGTGTGGCAGCTCAGAAATCATATGCAAGAGCATTTTGGCCTCGAAGAGTGGACAAGGCATAAAAGCACACACTCGGGCTTTGTGCTGATTCTTCCTAACAGAAGAGTAACCCATCAGCTAAAAAACTAAGTAGAAACAAACGGCTGCAAAATATCTTTCTGAATTGGCAAAAACAATGCATGAATATTAAGTTGGCCATATCAGAGTTTAAGTGAAGGATGAAATGAAGTGGAAAAGACGGAAATGGTGCAGTCAGATAAGGGAATGGCAGAAATAGTAATTGGATGCTGAAGCATCATTATAAAAGTTGTGGCTCCTCCATAACAGAGTATAGAGATGCTTTGGTTTTTGAAACCTTAGCCTACATGCATAAACCCCTGCCGCAGTAAAAATTAACTTCAGTTAAACTGTTCCTTATTTGAGATGCAAGCTCATAAAAGATTTAATACTAATCTGCACGATGTAGACAGAATGAAGGAACCAGAACGGAAATCATAATGAAGAATAAAGAGCATTCTTTTTCCCACACTACCAAAACAATAACCTTGTGTCCAACAAGCAAAACAATTCCCCGCCCTAATTTTTGCTTGTTTAATCTACTATTACTATTGTGTACCCTGTGTAATGAAAGTATGTAATAAAATCAGTTAGCCAGTTATGCATAACCATCCCTCCCAGCTCGCCTAATGTCAAAAATAGGAGGTCTGCAAGCATAAACATTGTAGGTGGCACAGTCGCATAGGGAGCAGTGTTCAAGATCAGCATAATGAATGCTTATTTTTCAATTGTTAAGGAACAGATGCTCATTTTGTTTAAAAAACCAATACCTTTAGTTCATCACGTTTCCGAGACTTCAACTGAGAAAGTTGTGTCTCTGCATCATGCAAACGATCATGAAGAACTTTATTCTCTGCAGAGAGCTTTAATATTTCATCATCCCGCTCTGAGCGATGCCATTCCAGCTGACTCTCAACTTCGTGAATTTGTTCTCCTAGTTCCTTCTTTTCCCGAGAAAACCGATCTACCTCGGCCTTCATTTCGGACTGTTGAATCATAAAATGTATCAGAAGTAAATTCTCCATTAACCCACAATAAATTATTAATCAAGACATTCGAAATACCTTGAGACGACTGTTTGTGGCCTCGGATTCACTCAGCTTTTGTGATAGAATAGCTTTTTCCTTGGCCATATTAGAAATCTCAGTTTTGTTTTCTTCACAAACGCGGATAATTTCATCTTCACTAGCACATAACTGGTGCCACAGAGCAGCTCGATCAATATTTGAAAGTTCGGCAACTCCACGCATCATACTCAAAACAGGCCTAATATACTCCTGTTCCTCACAGACCAAAGTAACCAAGATATCCAAATCAAAATCTACTTCGCGACCATTATCAGTAGTGCTGGTGACACGGTCAACAAGCGTCTTCAGCATCTTCCCCCGGTAAGATTCATTAGCATACCATTTAAAGATTATCACGTAGAGCAGTTTCACAAATTCTTGCACGCATAGGTCCCTGGAGAGTGCCAAAGTTTCAGCAAGACCAAGAACTAATGTAATATCATCCCTTTGAACTCCCAATTGCTCACAGGCATCCTCCTCCGTTGCACCATCTGAATGTTGAAAATTTTCGGTTCTGGCACTATTGTTCAATCTTTGGGAAAGTAGACTTTCCAATACCAGGGCTACAGACTGAGCACCTATTGCACCTCGAGCTACAGCTCTCTCAAATGTTTGAGAAGCTTCAACAGCAAGACAAGGTATTGATAACATTTCTAACAGTATATAAATATCAGAAAAATGACGACTAGCACGAAAAGCCTGCTCATCAATCATGTGCAGTCCAGTAGCAGCAGCGCTGTGCTCACCAAATAAGAAAATCCCACAGGGTAGAGCAGTGCAACTTTCACCATAATCCTCGTCACAATCAATATCCCTCAGTATGGTTTCAGCTACATCTCCCCAACTATTTATAGTCTTGCTCAAAAAGTCAAGGACACAAGGCGACACATGAAGACCTAAACTTTTCAGCCTGACACGAACAGACCTAACCTGCATACATGGGAAAAAATAATGCTACAATTACAAATACTTCATAAATCATCTTGGAATTGGAAACAGTACATAAGTATAATACTTCGCTTTTGCTGCATTGTGAATGTAAACTTTTTTACACTAACATCCAATCTTGTGTTAACATTGCATTCAATGAGCTTGTTTGAATACATTACTAACAGGAGATGCAAATTGACAAACTCATTAAATGACATGGTAAAACATTATCAGAAAATCGTATAAAACTCTATTTCATTGACAATGCGACTAAATTAAGTTCTAACTTCTAAGTAATTAAAGAGGCACGGAGCAATTTCCATTTATCTTTGAGCTTACTGCTTCGGGGAGGTGTTGACATTGAGATGCTGCTTTGAATACAAAATCTATTGTTGCAACCAGGGCTTCGTCATTTGAATCCGTCAAAAGCTCAAATGACTGAAATAGAATGCGCTCCCACACTTCACTACCACATTCCAATTGACTAAGAGCCCCAAAAACCTAAGAAATAAAATATCCATCAATAGTAGAAAAACAATGCAATCATAACCAAGTTGGTAGAAGTGGAAATGCAGCCAAAGTAAATCTAAAATTGAAGACTGTTACCCTAACATAAAATGCACACATAAAACAATTTGAATAAGACATTTGGGTAAAGAATAACAGTTTCTCTCACAGGCATTCGCAAAGAAGGTTCTGCATCTGGCTGTTGCAGGCGCTCAAGAAGTGCATGTGCAGCCAATGGGTGTTCTGACTGCTCTACCAATTTGGGTACCAAAGCAACAAGATCTGCTTGCAAATGCTTGGGAGCCTTGTCCAATACAAGAGCAATTTTCTGCGCAGACTGAGGTCGCCGTCTTGGCTCTGGACAACCTTGTGGAACGGCCCCATCCAAAGCTCTTAGTGAGTTTACAATCAAACCTAAGAGCTCCTCAGACTGCTCTGGCCATTTGGTCTGAAGTTCAAATTCACACAATCAAATCCAATGGTATATACAGACCCAAAAAAAAACCATGAGTATATTTAACAAAAGATTAATCTCATGAATGCAAAGTTGTACCTTTGACCGAAATGACGCATTTTCTGAAACAGTGGCACACGTTTCTGGTGGACAAGTAGGCTGTCCAGGAAGAGTTTTTCCCTGAATACCATTTCCATTTAAATCAAAGCTATGTACAGAAGACGTACTACTGCTTTCTTCGATGGCAGAATTCAATCTCTCATTAACAAGAACTTGTGCAGACTCCACTACTCGTTCTTCATTATCACGTTCAGGAGGACTAGCAGTTCCACTGCTGTCTGGAAAAGGCTTCGAGCATTCATCAACAGAATCAGCAGCAGGGCCCACTTCAGAAGGCTGGCAGCACTCAACCATTATATCCAATAGTAAATCAATGATTGCTTGCTGTAAGACTTTAACTCCCATCAGCAAATTCATCAAACTTGGGGAAGACTCATCAGCCTTGGTGGCCTTCTTCCCATCATAACTACCAGTGAGCTTCGTAGGCAGAAGCAAACGCTTTACTTTTGCAGGATCATCAAGATAAACCCGAAGTCCAGTCAGAAACCCAGCAATTGCACCAGCATCCATTAAAAGTTTCTCTCTTAAAGTAACCTGCGGCTGTGAAGGATTATCTCCATAAGTTAAATGAAATCCAGCTCTGGAAAGAAGATTTCTAAAAATATCTTCCTCATCTCCACTTATCCCTTCACTGTCTTCAGAGTCTATCAGTTCATCGGGATCAGTTGTCAATGCATCCTGATCATCCTCCGAAGCAAAAACCTGTACATTAAAGATCAAATTACTAAAAGTGCGTGCAACCTAACAATAAGAGTGATAAACACTAAACACGACCAACAGTTGTAATGAAGTTCAGAACAAAAACCTCCAACTTCACAACATGTAAGATAAGAGGTAAACATATAGCCGTTCTTTTCTTTTCATAAAAGGCATATAATTATGTATCTTTTGCCTTGGTTATGGGATAGAAACATGCGTACAAGTTTTATTGCACATCAAGAAGTTCAAGAGATGCAAAATTTTAATCAACTTCTGTAACTCGTGAGTCACTTATCAGCTTGTCCCATGCATCTTATCAGCTATAACAAGCAATTCCAAGGAAGGGGCCATAGTTTCTAACTTGCTTGTTACAATCTTACCAGACAGAATATAAGTCAGACGCAAAACCAGATAGTATATGTTAAATTTGTTATATGTCAGAAGCAGAAGAGCCAGGGTCAACAAATAGTTACCTAGGGCTAGACAGAGAACATTTGGTATGTGGGTGTGTCTGTATGAGTATATCAATTAATAATAGCATTTACAAGTACAAGGCATTCCTGAAAGGACTCACCTCTAAGTCTGAAAAGTCAAACCAAGGGCAGCAATCCAATATTTCACACACAAAAACAACGGTGTCACGGACAAGAAATCCTGCATCTGCTTCTAACATATCAGACACCTTCATGAATTGCAATACAGAATTATTCCAAGTTTTTGTGCAGATAGAAGATTCTTTCCATACAGTCTTGGCTGGATTTTTTTGATTCACAACAGCCATTCTGTATCTGACCCAGAAGTTTTTATCAGGATCACTACCAACAGCCTGATCACTCTCCAAATAAATACATATGGTATCAAATGACTCATACACACCTGGAGAGCATTGAAATATAAGCTTTTACTGAAAGAACAACAATTCAAAAATTTGCAATCATTACTGCCAGTGGATACAATGCAGGAGATAATTTATGTGCAATAAAACACATACCAATTCGAAGTTCACATCCACCAGCCTGAAAGAATTTACTATAGATTTTTCGAGTCTCCATTATTTCCTTAAAAGAAAGGAAATTCTCCACTTTCCATGAAAATGAACTTCTTTTCCCAGTACTATCAAGAAGGGAACTACTGCTGTTTAACTCAGAATCATGCTCAGTAAAATCCTGCATTATTGATGTCTCTTTCAATATAAGAACTTCAGCTGAGAAAATGACAGTGTCTTGGACAAGAAAACCTGAATCTTGATCAAATAGACTAGTAAGCGTCACAAATTCACGCCAACCCCAATCCTTTGCAGCTTTAGAGTAGCGGTTCTGAGATTCCTTGGTGACAGATTTGTCCTCCATTTTCTGGTTTACAACTGACAACCGGTGATTAACAAAACAACTCCAATCACTTGAAGAATTTCTTGAATCCGTAACTTCAAGAAACACTGAAAGGTGGCACGGTGGCTGAGACTGCCCTGATAGCATCAAAACCATATAAAAATTCATCACAACCTAAACATAATTGCAATGCATTGGAATAATCTAAGTGCAAGGACCTAGACTCATGCACTAAGAAATAATATCTCATTATCATCCCTACTTGCAATGGCAGTTGTACTTAATATTGGTAGATATAAACTACAAGCATGAAATACCAAACGGAATGAAATAATCAAAAGAAAAACTTATAAAATTACCAAGTATGCTCTCCTAAACATCTGTCGGCGTAAACAAGAATTGTGCCAAAAACACACACAAAAAACATCATATCATATCTACTAATGGAGTTAGAATTTACTAAAAAGACGTATACAGAAAAAGAAAAGATACACACCTCGGGGATAAACAATAAGACGACAGTCCCTATTACCAATCTGAAACCTCCTACTCTTAATGCAAAGACCCGTAATTTTCCTCTTTTTCAGTAAATCCTTCAACCTTGTGAAATTCTCAATCCTCCAAGTGAACTTTCCAATGTGACCATCTGACTTCCTGGCACCACCTCCACTTCTCCCACCAATGACAGCCCCATTCTTGGAGAAGCTGCTAAACTCCTTGATCACATGAAACGAGGTACTAAAAACTGCAGTGTCATCCACCACAAACCCTGAATCCGTCCCAACGAAATCAGACATCTTCATATAATCATTCCAACCCAAGCTAGTATTGTCACCACTCTTATTATCAGCCGCAAAGCGACCATAAGAATCCCTATGCATGTGATTCGTAGCAGGCTTCTGATTCAAAACCGACATTCTAAACAAACACCAGCAACTCCTATCAGACAACACAACATTCTTATCTGTATCCTTACTCTCCAAACACATCGAAAGATAATCAACACCATTAACCGAACTCTGATACACACTAATCCTCAAATTACACTCCCCAGCAGGGAAAACCGGACTCATTATCTTCTGTGTCTTAATCATATCCTTAAACAAACTAAAATTATGAACCTTCCACGTGAACTTCCCACTCAAAACATCAGAAACAGGACCAGCAACTACCGACGAAGACACCAACGAGGACGAAGACAGAGCCGAAGACTGCACCTCATTATTATCACGGCTAAAACTAACCGACTCATTAAGAATAAGAATATCAGCAGTTATCAACACAGAATCATTACTAAACATATACCCCAATTTCGGATCAAAAATAGTAGAAGCAGGCGTAAAATCACACCAACCATGCGATTTCTTCTTAGCAGTAAACCTATGCCAAGAATCACGATGAACGGTTTTCGAATCATCAACAACATTCACAAATGCCAAACGATAGCTCGCGAAACAGTCCCATTTGGAAGAAGAAGTTCCGCGAGGGTCCATGATTTGAAGATAAACGGAAATATAACCAGGCAAAGCCTGTGAATCACCCTTAGGGTATATCAACAGACGGCAATCGTAACCACCTACCTCAAAGTACTTGCTCCACAGTGCCCTAGCTTTCACTTTGGGGAAATTGTTCACCGTCCATCTACATACGGCGGAGTACTCGTTTTTCCGATCCACAACCACCACCTCCTGAGCGCTTCCCCCGTCGCGAGAGGCTATTGTGAGGTCCTCCGCCGCCGCCGCGGAAGAGGATGATGACGTGGCGGGCTGTGATTGGTCCGTGAAGGAAGGTGCGGATGATAGAGAAGGAACTGCTTCGGATGAAGTGTGTTTCATTCTGTTATGAGTGATTTTATTCTGTTAATTTTTCTTCTCCTTTCTTTTTTCTTTTTTCGTGTTCGTTTTAGTTATTGTTCTTGATTGAAACGTTTTGTGAAGAAGAAAAATACAGAGAAAAACGAAGGAGGCAGAGAGAGAAAGAGAAGCACACACACAATACACACAACACGCAGGTTTGGACAATACGGCGCACGATAATACCTTGCGCCTTTTTTTTTCTTCTTTTGCTTCGTGATCTTTAGCGTATGATAGTAAACAATGCGCGTTTTTTTTTTCTTTTCCTGGAGTATGCGTGTTACTTAATATAGACTGTTTATGACCGTTGGATTGTTTGGACGTATGTGATTGGATAAGATTAGTTGGGGTTGTCGTGAGTGCACGTTGTTATCAAAACATTGATTTTCGGGTATAGGGTGGGTCGCATCGGGTTGATTCACACGATATTTACAATCAGATTGGTGATATTGACAGTTTTATCTCTTGCCTAATTGATCTTGTGTTGGAATTATTAGGTTAGCCCATTTTGTTTTGCTGGTCCATTTCTTTCACTGCGGATGAGTGTGTATGAGTAATTATCGTTAGGACTGTTTTTCTTGTTTGGTTACATGGAAAGAAGAAAAAATATAACAAGGTTCTTTAAAAGGTAATAACAAATGAAGCATAGGTTCACAAAATTCATTGATGATCAAAGACAAGGTTTATCACTTCCACCGATTTGGTTTTTTCTTGGCAAGAAAATCTAATAAGTTATAATACACTTTGGACTGAAAATATGTCCAAATAATCGAGTGTCTATATCTTAACCTATTTAAGATTTAAGTTAGATGTCTTTTAAAATTGATAAACATATATTTTTCTATAAGTATATTAGATAAAAGATTAAAAAAAAATTATTTTTTTATTTTGGGTTTTATTTTCATCCTTTAACTTTTAAAAAGATTAATTTAAACTTTTAATTTTTTAAATAATGTCACATTTATTTTTTCAGTTATCTCTATTAGTTAAAGTTAAAAATAGTTGTCACGTGATGTCTACTTAACGTTGATGTGGAGATTAAATTAAAAAATATATTACACGTATTATTAATTCAAAAGAAAGGAAATGTGTTGATGTGTTATTTTTCATTTTTCATCTCAGTAAACTTTAATAGATGCGCATATTTCTTATTAAAGTTAAATATGTTTTTTATCCTTATAAATATTTTAAATTTTATTTTTAATTTCTATTAAAAAAATGATAAATTTTGGTTCCTAAAAAATTTTTGTTGATCTAATTTTAGTCCCTGTTGATCTAATTTTAGTCCCTGTTGATCTAGTTTTAGTCCCTGCTATTTTCTAAAATTTTAAAAACTGTTTAATTACCCTTAAACTTTTAAATTTTGAATAATATTTTCTATACGTGTTTAGAATACTATAAATGTTTCGTTATCAAATTTTAGAATATTTTTAAATGAGAAGAATTAAATATGATTTTTTTAAATTTCAAAAGATATTGATAAAAATAATGAAAATCTCGACTTATAAATCAAATTTTAAATTTCTTTTTTTTCAAGAAACTTTTTATAAGGTTCTAAACATGTCTACAAAATAATCGTTCAAAAATACACATTGGTTTAACAATAGGGACTAAAACTATGTGCATAATAATTTTGTAGGGACTAAAATTTGTCATTATTTTAATAAGGACTAAAAATGAAATTTGAGATATTTATAGGTACCAAAAACATATTTAACCCTTCTTATTATTCCAAACTTAGTTTTCACTCTTGCTTCTGAGAGAAGAATTTTCCTTTTCAAAACTATTAATTTTTCTTTTAAAAAGGAATTTTCTTTATCAGTTCACTATGAGCTTCAGAATTGATTACGTGAATCTGTTTCAGATTCTTATATCTTTTATGAAGTCTCTGACTCTTTTTAAGAATTTCAACTAAAGATAATTCAAGTTCATAGTGAGTTAGACAAGAAAATACCTCTTCATTGTCTGAATCTAATTTTGATTTCGATTCAGAGGTGTTAGTGCTAGCCATAAGAGTCGTGTTAGCTTGTTCTTCTTCAGAGTTATCTTCAGAAGATTCAGAATCGTCTCATGTTTCCATTAGAGCCTTCTTCTTCTCCTTGAAGAATTTCTTCTTTGCCTTTTCTTTGATGAGTTTGGGGCACTCATTCTTGTAATGGCCAAACTCTTTGCACTCATGGTTGATGGCCTATATGTCAGCTCCATACTTCTTCGGCCCAGATGTTGACTCAAAGTGTCCATTTGTCCTTTCGTAGCCTCTAGACTTGGTTTGTCTATGCTTCCAGAGTCATTTGACCTTTCTAGATAATAGAGACAGCTCGTCCTCTTTATTAGAACTTCCTTCAAACTCTTCTTCTTCAGCTTGAAGAGTTTTAGTCTTTTTAGATTACCTTTAGACTTCAGAGCCACAGACTTTGATTTCATTTGGGTATCATCCTCTTCTAGCTTGATATCATGACTCCTTAGAGAGCTTACAAGCTCCTTCATATTGGTGTTATTCAGTTCCTTATACACCTTAAGTGTTGTCGCCATTGGCCTTCATTTCTTTGGCAGGCTTTTAATGATTTTCTTTACTTGATCAGCGGTGGAGTAGCCCTTGGTTAATACTTTCAATATAGAGACAAGGGTTTAAAACCTTGGGAACATATCCTCAATAGTCTCATCCTCTTCCATTTTGAAAGATTCATATTTCTAAATCAAGGTCAGAGCCTTGGTTTCATTCACTTTATTATTTCTTTCATGAGTCATCCTCAAAACCTCAAAGAATCAAAGAATCAAATATAGACTTAGCTAAGTTTCTATTTGTAATATCCTCATACTCAGTATAAGAAAATAAAATTCAGTTAGATGGGTTATGGATCTGTGATGGTTATTGTTATCTTTCTTTTGTTGCTTATCCGTCTTGTTTTGCACCTTCAAATTTTGTAGGATGTGTGTAACCTTATATTACCATATCCCATAGATTTGCATCATATCCAAGGAAGAAATGTTAGATTTTATCCTTTTAGTAATCACACTTCTCTCCATCAAAGGTTAGAGGTTTGGCATAATAATGATATTTACCATTGTTTCTTGTAGACGCAATTATTGTGTTTTAGAGAAAATTTTGACCTTTATCTGATACAATTAAGTGTTTGATATAATACAGTTAATATTAGAACATGAGCTCTGATACCAATTGAAGATTTAATGAAACACAAGAAAGAGGGTTTGAATTGTGGAACATTGTTTTGCATGTAATAGG